AAAAAAAAAAAATAATAATTAGTTCATTTAAAATAACCCAAAACATTATGGATTCCTCTGTTTTCACTATGGGGGACAATAGGGACAATTGAATGGAATACAGATTTACAGGTGCAATTTTAAAATTTAAAACATGTAAAAATGTTTATTAAAGGTAGATCTTTAAGTAAATAAGAGCAATATTCATTATAGATAGCTCAATTTAATTTTACAAACACTAGTCTTTCAGTGTGTTATCCCTGTGTGTAAAAAAAATGTACTCAAACATATTTACATATCCTACTTCAAACTTCCTTATTTTATAATTCACATTGAAGCTTATGAATCATTTAACTGAACCAATAAGTAAATAGTTGTTAAACAAAGACATTACTGTAGATAGGTTTCATTTCAAAGTGCCAATTTTTGTTGGTGATTTCCCTTTTTTTTAAGTTATGTCAAACCTGCATGAGTATGACTTTAAATGTAATTACTACCATGGAATTGATTAGATTGTGGTGGATTTAGGTTGTTCTCATTTTATGTTGGTTTTTAAAAACTGAAAGTTAAGCATTTTTATGTAGAGTTTATGATTGAAAATTTCGAAATCTTTTTTCTGTATTACAAAATGCAAATAATAAAATACAATGTGATAAAAAAATCTTTATCAATAGTGAAATAATCCTGATTTTTACTAGGTAAAATGTTGCTTAAATGCTTAAGAATTCTTCTTACCATTGCATAATTGTACTAGGATATGTGTAAACAGAAAAATATTTTTCCATAATTGTACATGCATTACACAAGGAACAAATAATGATTTAAAAATAATCCATTGTGCTTATGTTTTTTTTTAATCACTAACAAGTTCTATTGATATTAAAGGCAAAGACTCTTGTTATAGATATCTTCAGGCCGCATTGTGTCTATTTAATACTTGCTGAATGTGACAGAAATTCCTAATTGCGGATACTAATTTTAATTGCAGATACCCAGGGTACTCCTGTTGTATCACTACATATTACATACAAAGAGTAGTATCCTTTTTTGGCTGCAACCAAATTAGAAAAAATTACCATTTAAGCTTTCTAATATTTCTGGGTTCATTTAGCAAAAGCCTTATTGAGCTATCATAACACAGTGCTCCATGCAAACACCAGTAGGTCTAAGAATATTTTACAAAAATATGTTTTTGTACACAAAGAGAAATTACTAGATTTTGTCTAAATTTAAAGGACAAAATCTAATTTAATTATCAGTGAAAAAAATCCTCCACTTGATTCATTTTATCTAACTTTCATCTCTATTCAAACCAAAATGACAATGAATAATTGAAAATTTAATAAGAAGTAATTATTAACTTGGCAAACGTTGTGCCAATTAACACTCTATTAAAACTAATTATGACATGTTTCATTCAAGTGTTTTCACTTAATTGTTTCACTCACTTAAAAAGCACCTTAATTAAATGTTCTGTTTAATTAAGAACATAGATTTCTAATAGAATCATATTACCAGATATTAAAAATTAAGAGCAAATGAATACGCTTCAGGAAGCATTCTGTAAGGAGACTATTTGCTAACCACTCAAGAAATTAATTTTCCCACAAACCATTAGCGAAACTTTAGAACATTTCTTATTGTTCCACAAATTTCTAAATATTAGGTACATAGCATATATAACAAGAGACTTAAATACTTAGAATTTTAAAAAGCAAGACTGAAAAAATTGCATTTATGTTTTTGGTCCTTTTGATACATCACATACATGTCTGTGCAAAAATCTCATTTCTTTTGGCGCAGGGAGAGGATATTGTGGAGGAGGTGATGGTACTTAATATCACAGATGTGAACAATACAGCCCGGGCCTAATTTACTTTGAATATTCAAGGTGAATTAAAATTCTATCTAAGTGGCAATACAGGACAATAATTTTTGCTTACGATCAAAGCTACAGCTTGACTAATTGTATATGCTAATCAGGCAATTTATATTTAAATTATGCATTCCTATTCTGGTCCCACAGGCACGCACAGATCTGCTAAGAGAATTGATAGGATGTTCATAAGGTGCCTGCATATTTATTATTAAATGCAAGCAAACCATGTTTACTCAAAAAGAAATATACATAGAATATTGCATGGGTTATTATTGAGACTTTCTTCCAGAATCTGTAATAAATACTGTTCTGGAAGAAATTATTAGCTTGTTATATTTAGGATCATTTTTAAAATTACTAATATGTAAAATACATTTATGGCAGATATCCTAGAAGATACATAATGTTATCTGGACTTATTTATCAGTTTTTTTTTTAAAGCTAACAGTTAATCTTGAGGTAACAGGAGAGTGATAGATTTCCCAAAAATATATGTGAGATATATAAACATAAGTATTGCTAATACACCTTTTCTATTTAAAAACCTTAGAGAATCAAGTCAATAACAATCATGTATAAATTATCATTACACATTTTATTTGCTTCATCAATATTGTTAAATGCTACCGAATGGAAAAAAGTCAAACAAAACTGAACACTAATGGGGATTTATTTGCGCTAATAACATTAAAAAAATACAGACTACATTATAATAAAATAAATGTTCATAGCAATAAATAAATAAATAAATAAAACAAAGTACAGCAGGTTATTGAGGAAGGGTGTTCCTGACACCCAATATTTGAACTTTATTATTATTATTTGTATTTTCTTATTAATTATACTATATAGATGTGGACATGCATTTAAAAAAATTGTAGTGCAATGAATTATCTTTATTTCAGAATGCGTGCAATATCTGAACATTATTCTTAAGTCTTGTCTTTGTTTCAATATATAACATGCATGTGACACAAATTAGAAACTGCAGTACGCACAGAATCATCATTATCACATCGGAAACTAAGCTGCTCCAATATCAGCTGTTAAAGGTCAAGTTACTGTTGTAATCTGAGTAACTAAGATACAGGATGGAGATGGAAATACTTTATCTATCTATCTATCTATCTATCTATCTATCTATCTATCTATCTATCTATCTATCTATCTTTCCAAGTGTGACTATTCAGACACAGTAGCTCTAATTGCCTTGTGACGTATGGTTGCACTGTAATATTAGAATTTAACAGAAGGTAGTACTGAAGAAATACAGTGCCTTAGTCTGATAGAACCTGGTCACTGTGGGATGTGGTGGACTCCTTTGGGCTACTACATGAAGCATGTCCAATTGATTAGGTTATAGTGGGAAAGTTAAACTGGAAATCATCTTTAACGTGTACTTGTAGCAGACAGACACTACTTGCAATATTAAATCAATATACCAGTTAAAATTTATGGCTAGGATTCGAAAAGGCAGCAACTATGGAGAACAGCCCCTGATCTTGTGCACAAACTTTAGAAGAGTATAGTACAAGATAATGTCCAGTGTATAAATTCCTCCACATTTGGGAGACATGCTCCAAAAGCAGAACAGCAAAACAAAGTTTGTAAGATCTGCCCTTCTTTGTGTATGTGGGAACTGAAACAAAAGACTAAACCACTGAATGACATGCAATTGATAGGGCTACAACAGCTGACATGAAACCACAAAATATAAAATAGATTTTCAAATTGGGAAATGACGAAGAACAGGTGATTAGCCTATATGCTTCAACTTAAACTTCATTCTCTTATTAACATGTGTTTTCTGACCCATTAAGGGCTCATCTTAACAATGAGGTCCCGTGTATTAAAGGCTGCTTTGGTTACTACAGAATAATGACGCAGGAAACGCAAAAGATCAGCACTATCTCATTGGGATAGAGCATTTCTCTATCTATCTATCTATCTATCTATCTTTCCAAGTGTGACTATTCAGACACAGTAGCTCTAATTGCCTTGTGACGTATGGTTGCACTGTAATATTAGAATTTAACAGAAGGTAGTACTGAAGAAATACAGTGCCTTAGTCTGATAGAACCTGGTCACTGTGGGATGTGGTGGACTCCTTTGGGCTACTACATGAAGCATGTCCAATTGATTAGGTTATAGTGGGAAAGTTAAACTGGAAATCATCTTTAACGTGTACTTGTAGCAGACAGACACTACTTGCAATATTAAATCAATATACCAGTTAAAATTTATGGCTAGGATTCGAAAAGGCAGCAACTATGGAGAACAGCCCCTGATCTTGTGCACAAACTTTAGAAGAGTATAGTACAAGATAATGTCCAGTGTATAAATTCCTCCACATTTGGGAGACATGCTCCAAAAGCAGAACAGCAAAACAAAGTTTGTAAGATCTGCCCTTCTTTGTGTATGTGGGAACTGAAACAAAAGACTAAACCACTGAATGACATGCAATTGATAGGGCTACAACAGCTGACATGAAACCACAAAATATAAAATAGATTTTCAAATTGGGAAATGACGAAGAACAGGTGATTAGCCTATATGCTTCAACTTAAACTTCATTCTCTTATTAACATGTGTTTTCTGACCCATTAAGGGCTCATCTTAACAATGAGGTCCCGTGTATTAAAGGCTGCTTTGGTTACTACAGAATAATGACGCAGGAAACGCAAAAGATCAGCACTATCTCATTGGGATAGAGCATTTCTACATAGGCATTCCAAGCAAACGGTACTGTCATTTCGACCAGTTATTGGAGATTATTGCAATTTTGCTGTTACTAATCAGCCTTTTTTTCCCCCTCAATTCCTCACATAGTGCATTAACAAATGCACACATCTGCCAGTCACTGGGTCTGTGTTTTCAAACAGTCCTTACCCGCTTTTTTCCAAATCTCCTCTGGCACATATCCAGAAGCAGGTCTATGAAGGAATTCCCGATGTGACTCTGTAGAGGAGAAAGGGGGAAAAAAAAGAACATTTGTGAGTATTGCTCATTTATAAGTACTTCAGACTGACAGTAAAACCCACTCCGTTATGATGCTACAAGTATTGTCTACAGCACACAGAAACCTCATTGTCACAGCTGTTTCATGCCTTCTGTAAGAATGTCTGCAGTGTACACCATGACATTATTTGACAGATCACAAATATTCTGAAGGAAAGAATGTAAATTGATGTTTATACACTAGGAAACACTTGAAGAGCTGTGCCTGCATTTAAATTAATCAAAGCCAACGTCACGCTTGGCAATTCGAGTTTAAACACCATTTTCTTTTACCCTCCTTTATCTTCAAAGTTCAGAATTAGAATTGAAGCATATGCAATTTTGTTTATATTTTTATATAACTATTATGTCGGGCAGTTATGTAAATTCCATTCAGAGGTACAAGCAGCACCCAATTAAAATTTATTCTATTAAGGTCTCAGCTTCTGCGATTCCTTCTGCAACCAATATCTTTGTGCCAGATAGAGAAATATACTAATCAGTAAATCTTATTATTCCAAGCTGTCTTTCTTTGCAATTAAGTGAAAGGTCTAATATACTCCTATGTAGCAAACAGGAAAGTGGTCTTGTTATAGTTGTGTCAGTACACCCCAAAAGTGGGATTGTGTTACGAGGATTAAAAGATTTGTACTGATTGTGTGAGGAAGGCATTCTGTACTATCACATGTTAAAGTGAACTGTTCCTTTGCAAAAAATAATGTATGTAGTGCCCTGAATGCAAAGACAAGCATTCACTTGTCTGAACATATTTTGCCCAGCTTCAGCACCCCATGAGCCCCCGAAGTGTATTTAAACACAAACTCTATTTTTAGTATGATGGGGTTGATTTACTAACCTTATAAACACACCACGAACATGTATACACCTCTGTAGTGTGTTCCCTCCCAGCATGATCTATGGGTGGAATCTAAACACCTTTGTAGTGCGTACACACTCAGCAGGTGTGTTGTGCAAAGCCCTGCATGAATTTGCAAGGTGATCTTGTGTAAATTAGCTCTATGTTGTGTTGCTTGCGTTGATGAATGCAGGAATGTAAATGCAAGAGCTAACCATTTTTGTCTAAACTGTGAAGCAGCATTATATATGCATCATGTGCATGATTTTTCCATATATGGCATTAGTGGAAATATGCTTTTAGAGACTTTTTGGTTGATAAATACGTTTTGCTGTGTAAAAATCACACGCACCTAGTGCGTGCGTGTGTTTAGGTTAGTAAATCACCCCCCATGACTCACTCTATACAGTGTATATTTGTTTATAAATATGCTGCAAACTTTCATACCTGGAGATCTTGTCGGTAATAGGACTTCTTGTTGCAGGCTAACAAGGCTAAGCCACTGCCCTTAAAATTGGCAGCAGCATTGTCAGCCTGCCATGTGTGTTCCTTCAATTGGCCATTGGTCTATCTATCAGGTCAATCCGGCAGCCCAACAGCCAACTGAATGAGTGCACATGGCAGGCTGACAGCATTATCAACCTGCAATCTCCTGGTAAGAAACTCTGCAACAGATTTGCAAGCAAACATTTGGTTAAACTGTTGATGTTGATGCCAAACATACTGAAATATAGGTTTAAGATTTAACCCACAGAAAATCTTGATTTCTACAGAAATGTTTAAAGTATAACCACCCCTCCAGTCTATTTACAAGACCCTGAGGCGCTCTCTCAATTCAGCAACCAGTAAGGAGTTGCAAGAATTAGGAGAGGTTTAAAACCTGCATAATAAATGCAGAAGTAAGAAGCCAACTTGCAGATATGGTGTTAAACAAAGCAAATATTGATTTTTCTTTTCATCGTTATTTTGTTTTCATTTGATACTGTGATATTTTTTTTTCTTACAAAACAAAATGAAGAATTTCAAAGGACATATCAAGGCAATTTTCTTCAATAGATTCAGTGTTACAGGAACGCCAGTGACTGTTTTCAGCAAGTACACTTTTTGAATTATTATTGTAATGTTTACCTGGAATTGATTTTTTATGCAATTTTCCCATTTTTACCAGCTTGCAATTCAATATTTTCATGATTGATCTCATAGCACACAGTATTGTAGAATCTCCCTCTAGCGGGTCAAGCATGTCAAACAGGGGCGTCTAACATTGGTTGCTGAGTGAATGTTCAGATAAAATTAGTTTTATCTAGATACTGTATGTGAAGGTTTACTTACTGTAGCTTAGAAACCAAGCTATGTAAACGTGAATAGCCAATCATGTGCAAGGCAATTCATACAAAAACCCCCATAATTTTAACTTGCACATGATTGGATAATTGAAGTGAACACAGTTTACTTCTATTCACTAAGCTAAGTAGCGATTCACATTGCCAAGTATAGAGTGTCTACCCCTTTTAGTAAATCAACCACTAAAGTTAATGAAATAGCAGCACCACAGCACAGAATATAACCAGAGACTGATGGTATTATTTACATTAACCTGTTCACAGGGAATATATGTCTAGAATACCAAAAATAGACTCTAGATTCCGTTTAATAATTTGTGGAAAGGTTATTAAACATTATAATAAGAATTTACATGGCAGTAAAGCCTACTGACTGAAAAACATAATTAGTGTAATCAAATGCAATAGCATTAGAGATGAACTCCAGAGAAGCAGCTAAATGCACAGCTGGAATATATGGGAACCACTTTACACTGCCAAAGAATTTGTAGCAGTGTACAGTCAGGTAACGTGATTCAAGCAGCCCTGTATGGCAGCTTGGTCAAGATTAATAGGCCAAACCACAAACTTCTGATTGGAAGGTGAAGCAGCTTGCAGATGATTCACCACTCTCTGCTCTCCTCCTCTCAGCATACTGACTATTTGCACATGTGCACAGCAGCAGAAGACACTGGTTGCTTCTTAGGGCCCAGTCACATCATAAAGAGTTCGTTCCAGGGCCCTGTCACACCATCAAGAGTTTGTTCCAGTGCGTTCGGCCTCTGAAACACAACCCGGCCGACTCACTTTGTTTTGGGGCGGGAGGGGGAGTGGCGGTGCATTGAACTCAATGGCACCGCAGCCACGCCCCCACCTGCGGTGCGATCGCCCGACACCAGAAAGTGTGACACATTAGTGCTTGCGTTCTGGTCCAATGCGATCTGCAAAAAATAATGCATGCAGGTGGGGCCGTGGTGCCATTGAGTTCAATGCACCACCACGCCCCCCCCTGCCCGAAAACAAAGTGAGCCGACTGGGTTGCGTTCCACTGGAATGCACAATTGATGGTGTGACAGGGCCCTAGGGGCTAATACTCCTTCAAAGTCTGAGTGATGCTGTCCAGGGAGCTACAGAAGGCTATCAACACAAATCCAGGTACGACTCAGCTGATCCAACATCTGAATCAGCTGAGCTGAACCTCCTGCAGGCTACTCGCTGCTGTTCAGCCTATTCTCATAGAGGCATTCAGCTCGGCTATTCTGCGGTACCGAGCAGAATAGAAAAACTGTAAAATAAAGTAGAAAATAAAAGTTGAAAACGATTGGGCGGAGCTAGCAGTGACAGATAGCTCTGTCCAACTGTTTTCTATTGGCCGGGACCAGCTGTCATTACAATGAGAGCTTGTCGGAGCCGACGGTGATATCAAAGCCAGCTCCGCTAAGCTCTTATCGTAATGACAGGTCAGCGTCCCTGGTTACCCATGACATTACGATAGGTAACCAGGGGACGCTGAACTGTCATTACACACTGAGAACTCGGCAGAGCCGAGTTCTCAGTGTACTGACAGATCAGCGTCCCTGGTTACCGGGTAACCAGGGACGCTGATCTGTCTCTGCATGCAAGCGGCCGAAGCCAGCCGTGAGATGACAGCTGGCTCCGCCCAGCGGCCGAAGCCAGCCTCGGCTTTCACCTCGGCTCAGTTGAGCCGAAGCATATGCCGTCGGCTTGACTGAGCCGCTCGGCCAACTTCGGGAGCTGTACGGGCTATAGTGAATAGCCCGTACAGCAGCCCTTCGGTTCTATTAAACCGAAGGGGTCCTGGAGCCGAAGCTAGCCGAAGGATCAGCCGAAGCTACGTCTAGATCCTTCGGCAGCTTTGTGAATAGACCCCCTAATGATTTTATAGAACACAGGATTGCATTAATTTGAGTTGTTTTAAGTTCACCTTCAGGAAGAGCAATACAAATAAATGAAAGTTGTTGCAGATTCTATAATACATTTGAACAAGGAGTTACAGCGTTAGTTGAAATAGATATGTAAACTTTTTAGACTTCTTGAGTCATACTGTGGCAGTATAAAACCATGTAACAAAGGTAAAAGAACCTTTGGCCATTGAACTAGCAGAAGACTAGGTGCAATAAAAGTCTCTTTCTTATAAATGCCTCTACAATTTCCCTTATTTAATGGTATAAATCCACAATCCTACCAACACTAATCAAAAGAAATCATTTAAAATAAAAAAAAAAGTGTAAAATAAAGTTAATATGATAAAAAATGAAATAAATTACTCTGCTACATAAATCTGCTTTAATTCATTAGCACCACATGATGAACATATTATATTATTAACCCCTTAACCACAATTTATACCTATAAAAGAAAGACAGACAAGTCTACAAGCAGATTTTTTAAGACTGGCTCATCATCTATAGCAGATGATGATGACAATAGACTTCACTTCCTGAACTGCAGATTGAAGTGCAGCCTGACTGCATAAAACGAAAACTATTGTTACAGGGGCCATTATCTGATTGCTTTCCAGCAGACGCACTGGCAAGTGCACAGTCCTGTGATGTAATAAAGCACTTTGTAACTGTGTTTGCTCCTCACTGTACTTTGAACTGACGATGTCTTTATCAATAAGGGGTTTACCTCATAAACCGCTCTTCCGTGAGAATGAAATGACATGCTGTAACCATAGAAATATTTCAGAGCGGAGGGAGAAAATGCGTCCAAGAACAGATTAGGCAAGCTGTTGAACAGCTGTGAAAAATATATGACAAAACTATGTGGTATTACAAATTAGGCACTAAAAATACTTTGTTATGATTTTCATCAGATTCAAATTATATCTGATTATTTGCAGTGTTATTCTATCTGGGAGGCTGCTAGCCAAAATACTGCAGTTCAAAATTAAGCTACAGAGAGAAAGACATATAATCATCTAAAGAGACGGCGTGACGGTCTAACCCGGAGTTATCCACAAACAAGCATTTATTACCATAAGTGGAAGCTGTCAGTCTACTGACTAGACCAACATAAATAGGGATATAAAATATGAGAATTTTATCCAACCCTGCCTATTGTGGTTAGGCTATCGCCAAAATTGCTGAACTTTGTCAATTGATAAAGGAAATTGTTTTATTTTCATATGTATGTTCAGCTTAAAGTAAAAAAAAAAAACCTTATTGAGGTATTTAATGGTAAAAGTAAGTACTTGTTTCTATTCATAGTTTTTGTGATATATGAACAGGTGGCAGCCATATGTGCTCCTTATACATATATGCATACATGCTGTGTTTCCTGTTTTGGCTTTTCACAAAGACAACATATTCTGTAATTGCCTTATGTTGTATTCACTTCCTCGAAGTAGTCATTTAGCAAGGATGCTCTCTGTACTACTGTATAGGACATGCAGTTAGAGGGAGAACTTTTTTAAAGGCCATCATGAAAATAGGTCCCAGCAAGCATGCAACAATATAAAAATAAAATCTAAAATGCCTTTCATGTGAATTTTACAATAAAATGTATCTAAAGCCATTTTTTTTTAATAAAGTAGGGATTGCAACCTCTATCAGGGTTTTATTGCTTGGTGTCCTCCCTGGGGAGAATCACTCTTTCTATATACCCTAGTCACCGCTGCCACTGGGACTATATTTTAATTTTGAGGTGTCACTAGAACAAGAATGAAGCAGAAATAGATGGACACGTGTACCAGTGACAACTAATAGATTATTTATTTTACTTTGGGGAGATCTGCTCTCACTTCCTGTGGTGTCTCAAGGCAAAAAGTGCAGGAAAAGCTCCCCTCTGGGATTCAGACAGTAAAACAAACGGGTGGGTAGTTTAACCCTTCATCAAAACTAAAGAAAACTTATGACTTTAGGTTTACTTTAACTTTGGGCTGTGTATTCTATACAAATCCCCAATGAGTTTCCTTTAACTCCAAGACAAAACATCTTTCAAATATTTCAAATATTATGTAATGACAAACATCCTGTCTGATTAACTTTTCAGATTGCAGTTTTTTTCTGTGACTGTGACACTAAACTCAGGAGTTAAATCCAAGTTCACTCCCATGATAAACTACAATCTCAATACAAATGAGCAAACTAAACATGAGATTGTAGTCCATTACGGGAGTAAGCTTGGAGTGGTGACTACTTTACAACACACACAAGGACCATGGGGAACAAAAGTAACCACCCTCCAGAAGGAAGGACCCTCCAGAAGGAAGGGCAGTGTCAGCACCAATTCAGAGATGAATTGAGGATCTACAGCCGAGTGATACACAAATAAGATACATTGGGGTCTATTCACTAAGCTGCCATAGGCAGCCGAGTGAAAGACCGATCTGAAATGAAGTGAGCCGAACACTGTTCGGCTATTTACTTCAGGCTGGTACGGCTGATTTCAGCCGTACATCGGCTTGCTTCGTGTGGCTTTGGGTCGGCCGAGAAGTGCAGAAGGAGTTCGACTCAGCCGATCCAACATCTGGATCGGCTGAGCCGAACCTCCGGCAAGCTACTCACTGCTGTTCGGGCTATTCTTAAAGATGCCGAACAGCAGTGAGTGAATAGCCGAATGCCGCTGAGCGGCATTCAGCTCGGCTGTTAGTGTCACTTTAAATGTAATTGCTTGTGACATAGTGATATGACCCATGAAACAAGGACGAAGATGTAATTCCCCTCTACAGGAACACTGACGTAATTTACAGTAATATAATTTCAAACTTTTATGACGAGAAGAAAAGCATCCGTTACCTTGTTCTCAAAATATACCGATATAAGCAAAATATATATTGTGAAATAAAAACAGGAGCGGTTAGATAGTTTGTTTGCATTGAAAACTCCACATCACGTCTCAGCTTGGTCAATAAATTTTACTGGGTCGGCCTAACGGGAATAAGTTGCCAAAACAAGGGCAATAAAATTAAAAGCTCTCAGTGTAAAAGCAATTCTCATGTTTGTGTTTTGGCAGACACTTCTGTGGAAAGTATAACATAAGCGATGAATAATATACGTTGAAGATGAGATAAACGTGTTACAAATAATTCCAACCAAATGCGTATGAAGCGTTGTATGTGTAGAAATTAGATAAACAGCCAAGATCAATAAAAACTGCAGATTCTTTTCTCAATCTTGACTTGGCTTAGTGAACACAGCTCCAGTGTAGAGGTGCGTTTGGGACACATTAAATAACAACTTAAAGGGAAAACCTGTCATGACAGAAATATGGTGACTGTCATTGTTGAAAATTATAGTTGCCTGACTAACATGCTAAACCTCTGGCTTCAATAGTTAGTCAGTGACCAAGAACAAGAAAGCAGGCCAGTATTGTGACTTCCCTCTAAATTCACTCAAAGTATGCTTCTTTCCAGTCAATGGCTTGGAGAAAGACACAAACTAGCATTTTCAGAAGGAGGTCAGCAATGGCATACCTTGAATTTCTTTTTACATTATTTTACACATTCAGATTGACCTTTTAAAGCACTCTTGAAGTCATTTATTGGTAGCATTTACTATGCTACCCTGACACTGATAAACATGGATGAGAGGTGCAAAGGCATTGTCACACGGGACCTGCAGTGCTACTCCTGGTTCATGTGGATTTTGTAGGATCTCTTTATGTCATTAAAGCATATCTAAACCCCCCAGAAATGTACTATACTGCTAACCAGTCCTTATAAATGATGGCTGTATTTGTTTTCACTTTTCAGGCTAAGAACATTTCTAGCAAGTACAGAAAATACCTGTTGATCTTGTCAGAAATGCAGTGTCCTTGTCAGTGAGAACCTTATCCCATCCCCATACTCATTCATCCACCATGTAACTGAGATGAACAAAGGCAGACATATTTTTCAGGTCCAGCCTTGTGTGACAATTATGGGTCCCTCTATAAATACAATAAAGAACTTAGTGTATATCCAGAACGTGGCTGTGGAGAAAATACATACATGCACAAGGGTACAAAGACTCATAAGTTAATCTAATGTACCTAAGGGGACAGCATCTGGATTCACTGGACTCTGTTGTCTGGAATGGCTGGTACTGCTGCTACCTTTTTTTAAATCCTCCGCATCACTGTACCGCCTGATCCAGTAATTGAGCTCTTCCCGATCTGCTTCTTGACATCGCCGTAGCACAGTGAGGGATCGTCTTGTTTTTTCCACCATATCCATTATGCAGTTTAATAGCTAATTAAAAACAAAGATAGGAAAAGAGGTATATAAATATCGAAATCCACAGTTTACCGAACACTACAATAGAGCACTGTGTATATAGGTATGAATATAAATATATAAATCCAGTGTACCCAACACTACAATGGAGCACTGTGCATATAGGTATGTATATAAATCCACAGTGTACCTAACACTGCAATAGACCATTGGGCATACAGGTATTTATTTTAGGCCTGTTAAACCCTGGTAACAAGTCCAAACAATTCATCTATCTGTAAGTCAGGGAATTATTTACCTTCTAATGCTTCCCAGCAAACTTGTTCTATGGTCGGAAAGCTCACTGAATGAATCCCTAATCAAGATGTTATTTAATCCACTGGAACAATATTCAGCAATTCAGCAAGTAATTCACAATACAGCCACCTTGCATGATTCTGTGCTGTACCTCCTTTTCCGAGAACAGAGGAGGAGCTCAGAACCAGGGAATACATTGACTGTATTTTCATATGTACATCCATAATGTAAGAATACCAACAAGTACAGGGCTATGGCGTGTTGATGCCTGTAATGAAAGACCTACAGTTTAAATGTGAGATTCCCATTACATATGTAAAGGGAAGTCTTTTAAAAACATTTTCCAAAAAAAAAGTAGTATATTATCATTTTCGTGTAAATCTTGCTATTAGCATCTGTTAATGGTCAAAAAAAAAATCTGTTTTTTGCCTACTTTTTATGCACATGAGACCTTTGCTTGTGAACTATACCTGCTTCTTTTTCTAGGTGGGCAGTTATCAACATTTTGCCCTTTTCTAACATAGGCATGATATCATTTGTGAGCATGATGTACAGGCTGTACATTCAATGTGTGAAGATTTAAGGATAAAAAGTGTGGTAGGTGTTCATAGGTAATCAATGATAAATAGAGTCTCTCCCATCCTCTGGAACTCTTTACCCCAACCTGTCCGTCTATCTCCCACCTTGACTGTCTTTAGGCGTTCCCTGAAGACTCATCTCTTCAGGGAAGCCTATCCCACCTCAACCTAACCACTGAACCATCACATTCTCAAATAATTCATCCCCTCACAGCTACCTCCTCATGTATAATTTCCCCCTCCTCTTTTAGATTGTAAGCCCTCAGGGCCAGGGCCCTCCTTACCATCTTGTCTTGAATTGTATTATAATTGTAATGTCTTCCTTAAATTGTAAAGCGCTGCGCAAACTGTTGGCGCTATATAAATACTATGTAATAGACATGTGCACTGCCAAAAAATTCGTTTTGTTTCGTTTTAAATTCGGATTTGTGTTATTTCGTTTTTCGGGATTCGGGTGTGAAAGTCAATTCGGATTCGGAATTCGGATTCGGACGAAATTCGGTAGCGTTCGCACGAACGTTCGTTTCGTTTTCTGTTCTCATTCGTTTCTTATTCGTTTCTTATTCGTTTCGTTCGTTTGCAGCAAAAGTGACATTTGAGGGGGAAAAAATATTTTTCTCCTTCTCTAATGTCACTTTGCTCCAACGAACGAAACGAATAAGAAACGAATACGAACAGAAAACGAAACGAACGTTCGTGCGAACGCTACCGAATTTCGGAAATGGAAATTCGGATTCGTTTGCATTCGTTATGTCTGTAATTCGGAATTCGGATACATCCGAATGTCCGAATTTACGAAAATTCGTCCGAATTTCGATTCGGAACGAAACGAATCGCACATGTCTACTATGTAATAATAATAATTGTACAACATTCTCCTTGTTGTTAATATGGTGAATTGTACTGTGACCTGATTTTTGGACTGCTGGTGAGTGTTGGTTGATCCAGCTATTCAAAGAGCTGCCAATTCATATATATGCTCTTTGTTGTTTTGTACTATAATTTATTTTCTCACAGTAGTTATTTAGCACTGCCAGCTGTAAAATATATGACCGAATTCAAGTAAACATATGTAAATCATCTATAAAATGACCCTACGGTAAACATTACAACAATGATCAACAATGGGCACTACTGAAATTGTATGATAACATCCTTTTAAAGGCTTCAAACCCAACTGCCCTTGAACACATGCCCCAATTCTAACATGTATTGTTAGAATCTTCTACTATGTATTGTTAGAATCTTCTACTATGACCAATGTATGTTAAAGTCCTCCCTTTTTTCCTCTCAGCATAAAAGTATAATGACTCAAAAAGACACAAGATCTGTCTGTGAACATGCAACATTCATTAAGCCTAGCTTTCAAACACTCGGAAAGTACTTTCATCTGCCATCTGTGATGATGGTAGAGTTATTCGTTTTAAATATATTATGACTTAGTAATTCTGCTTCCTTGAAATTTGCATAGGGCTGCCGCAAACGGCGACGGGAATGTGTGTCATTACTTAGCTCTCGACAACAGTGCGTGAAGACAATGTACAACGTATAAAGATGATATACTGTAAATTAGTTAGGCAACTGAAGCGTGGCAAAGGGAGAATAATCAATTCAGGCAGCTACTTTGGAACGCGCTGAGAAATTGTCTGAACTGAGCAATACTGTTTAGAGAAAGCCTTGCTATAAATCTGTTTTCTCCTCTCTGTGGCATTAATTCGGCTACCAGACAAGCTATACATGACTATACATGAGTATGCACAAACAGACACATTTGCTTATTTAAAAAAATCCTGTCCAGATATTATACTTTCTACCATTTCTGATCTTACTTGATGGTACATCTGACCAACGTATTTTTCCTATAACCTACAAAATGTACAACCTTAGGGGTCTATTCACGAAGCTGCCAAGGGCAGCCGAGTGAATGACCGATTTGAAGTGAAGGGAGCCGAACAGTGTTGGACCTGATGGGGAACTGCAGCAGAGGGCGGGTACAAAGCTAGTTTACTATTGGCTATTGTAAATTGAAATAGCCAATAGTAATGTCCCAATGCTTTTCAATGGGAATTTTTTTTTTTTCTATTCTGACATCGATCGTGTCAGAATAAAGAGAAAAAAGGACACAGCTGTGTTTCTCTCCTTGGCGGCCGGGAGCAGGAGACTCCCGGGGCGCCTGGGAGAGTTAGCTGTTTGGAGATCAGTGCCTCTGGTTAGCAGGTAACCAGGGACGCTGATCTCACTGCAGGTGGCCGGAGCCAGCCGTAAGATCACGGCTGGCTCCGCCCAGCTGTCAGAAGCAGGCAGTCGGCTCAGCCATGATCGGGAGCTGTACTGGCTATTGTGAATGGCCCGTACAGCACCCCTTCGGGGGTCCTGGGGCCGAAGCTAGCTGAAGGATCGGCCAAAGCTACGGCCAGATCCTTTCGGCAGCTTCGTGAATAGACCCCTTAGTCAGAGAAGTCGGCCTCAAAGGCTTCTGGGTACAACATCCATAGTTATCTTGCTGGTAGTAAATGTAACTCAGAAATATTTTATCTCAACTTGTATTGCTATAAAGCAGGTTTTGTCCAGAAGCACAGTGACTTTGAATACATCACACAAAACACATGGCAAGGTAACAGGATGTAGTTCTGGTCTGATATGGAACTCTTTTGAATAAACAGAATATAGAACAAAAAAGCCACCAGACCAGTGCTAAAGTCCAAGTAAGAAAGTCTGTCCATTTCTGTAACGTCAACATGACAACACGTTTTGGGGGACTATAGGTGACCCCCCTTTATCAGGGCTATAAAAACACAGAAATACATTAAAATGGCAATAAATGGGTTCCAATTATATCAATCAGCAAAAGGAGAAATATTATTAAAATACAGACGTTATTATCTGTATTTTAGTGAAATTTCTTAATTTTTTGACTTTAGCACTGGTCTGGCCCTCTCATTGTTCTATATATTGTATATGTAAAATGTCATCTAATTGTCTTTTGGTTTGAGAGCAGCCTCTCCAAGGTCACTCTACTTGGGGACATGGAAACCTAAAGCCTCTTAGAACCTGGGCATTTTGGATCTTTTCCTCCTGAACCCACAAATGTTCTTTTGAATACAATGAATGGCAAATTGCTGCGCTAAGAGTATAATAGTGATCTAAACAGTAGACTAGCTGCAACAATCTGTGATTGAGTAATCGTGTGTAGTGCTGCTACTGAGCGCAACATATTAGCAGCACTACACACTTCTTTTGAATACAGTCTCCACTAAGTGCAATAACTTTAAATCACCCTTTCAAGGATATACCAACATTCAGAAAGGTTGGAGGCCGTAAAGACA